TCAATATTGTTTAGATTTGGAGAGCTTTGTGTTCCTTCAGACTATTGATGGTTTTGCCCAATTCTCAGATGTGGTTTACCATCTGAGTGGGTTGCCATTTAAGGCTAGAGTAACATCAAGTTGTGGATGATCTCAAACTAGAGATCATCTCTTACTATTTTTAACTGAAGGTGGTTCCAGGTTATTGACATCGCCAGTACTCAGTAGACTGATGTCACGGAAAAGATGGTGGTTGAACACAGGGAAGGCATTCTCTGTACAAGCCAGTGGGATTGTTAGTGTTACAAAGGAACAGCACTTTCTTTTTGTGCACATATATACATATACACACACACACACACACACACACACACACACACAAACACACATATATATTATTGTAAAGATACTATACAGAGGGGTTACAGTTACATGAGTAAGGTAATGAGTAAATTTCGTATCAAGCATTGGTACCTACCATCCCTTTCCTCCCTACCTCTCCAACTCCTCTCCCCTCCCCCCCCAAGTTGTAAAGTTCATTTTCAACATAGTGTCTTGTACATATCATTGTTACAATGGATCAACCTGTATCCTCATTTCAGCATTTTGTTATTTTCCTTCCCCTCCCCAAATTAGAAAAATGTATATATAAGATGCAGGACACTGGAATCAAACATGGTGAAAACAGGGGTTATACCACAGGGAAAGAACATACAAAAGAAACAAAAAAAACACATAGTACATTATAAATACATTTAAAAAACAACAGCAAGAAAGATAAAACCTCTTGTGTCCCTATTTTGGGGTTTATTTCGCTTAGAATCATCTTATATGGTCATATGTACATAGCTTTTGACCTCTTCTGCTTGACTCAGACATATACTAGTTATTGCAGATAAGGGAAACCATGAGACCTATGTTTCTTTGAGCCTGGCTTACTTCACTTAATATAATTTTTTCTAAGACTTTCTACTTCCTAACAGATGAGGAAGTATCATTCTTTCTGATGGAGGCATAGAATTCCATTGTGCATATATACCACATTTTCTTGATCCATTCATCTTCTGAGGGGCATCTAGGTTGGTTCCATATCTTAGCTATGGTGAATAATGAGCAGCAGCACTTTCTAAGCCTGCTGAGGAACATCAAAGCAAGTCCTGGAGAGCTGCAGAATTAAGTGCCTCTCTTAGTTCATAAAAGGAACCTTGATGAGCATCTCTTCCACCCACATTTTGCAGATGAGGAAATAAAGGAACCTCAGAAAGGTCTTGCAATTTGCCAAGTTGTTGCAATTTTTCCACCAGTAGAGTAAGTTCTAAACTCACTTAGTTTATAAGGTCCCTTAGGACCTGCCTCCAGTTTCATGGCTGCCTGAACCTCCCACACCTTCACTTAGCATGACTCAATGATGCTGTTCTGCCAGAGAACCGTGTAATCTATTCATACACTGGACTCCAGCCATATTGAGCTCCAATGTGCCCTGTTCTTCCCACCCACAGGGCCTTGGCACATGCTCTCATTATGGCATAGCATCCCACCTACACTGTGCGGTAATTTTCCTGGTTGACTCTTCCTTTGGGGTCTCAGTTTCAATCTCATTCCATCCAGGGAGCTTTCTTTGACTCCTCATCATTCCTAAAGTCAGTATTATGTGTTTCTGCCATTATATCCTGTACTTATAACTGTTCCTCTTTTCTTACCTAATTGAAAAATTAAGGTAAGAAATTTCATTTCTGCCGTTTGCACTAGGTTGTTAAAGAAATAGATCCATATTTGTGTTTCTCACTATCGTTCCAGGAAACAGCTCAGTGCCTAGAATTCAAGGGATGATGATGCATGGATGAATGGATGATGAATGGGTAGATGGATGGATGGTAAAATGATGAATGGATCATGGATGGATAGCAACAACGGAGAGACCAAAATGGGCAGAATGGACACTAGAATAAAAGAAGACAGACTTAAAGTGTAGATCACTGGGGAAATAATGCTCTCAGAAGTTGCTCCTGATGTCTGCTGAGTTACACACACACACACACACACACACACAAAACCAGTTCAGTGTAGACTTAGTTCATTCCTGCTCTCCAGCCTCTCTACTACCTGGTTTCATCCTCAATATCCCAGTGCAACTGTAGAACAGCTTGGGAGACGGGAATTTTTATCCACTCCTTGCAGGTGTGGAATGGGGCTGGGGAGGGAGTGTGGGTGGCAGGGTACTGCTTGGCCACTGAGACTATGGTGCTCCTACTTTGCCTTTCATTGCCACCTATACTGCCAGCCCATCTCAGAGCTCTCCAGTAACTGAGATCAGTAACCTGGTCTGGGCTTTTGCTGTGCCAGGGATGAGTTGCTTTATGGCAAAGTACTTGGAATGGTTGGCTCTGGCCTTGCCTCTGCTCTCACTGGTCATTGGTAACTCTGGCTGGTTTGTATTTTCCCATATGTAAGTAACAGGGGCAGGGTTGCTGTGATAAAATTGTATATGTGCTTTTTGCGAATGGACAGCACATTTGACATATCAAAGGAACCTAAAAGCTAGGAGGGTTCTGACATTCACAGAGCTCCTAGCGCCCTCCCGCCCCTGCCCTTCATCCTGGCTCACTCTCCGGCTGTCAGCATGGGGAGACATCTTTCCAGCCACACCTTCATGTTAAAAAATGCCTCAGCCAACTAACGCTGACGAGAGAGCAGTTGATGGTAATTACCAGGATATTAGCAACTCTAAATAGCATTTTTTTTTCCTGACAGAAGCCATTTGAAGTTTGGCTTGGTGTTCCATCCATAATTACCCTCATTGCACCCTTCCCCTAATAATTTCCAGAATGATATGAGTGAGGTTGAAATCACAGCTGAGCTTAGTATTTGGGGGTTTTTTCATAGCTGGTGTCACATCTGTACTATTTTATCCGTTTGTGCACGCATACTTAAACAGTTAGATGGATGCTTAAGAACTATTCTAAGGAGAAAATGTGATTCGACACACTGGCTGCCATTTCTGTTTTGCACTACCAGGCAAAGATGTCCTGTGGGTTTGTAAAAAAGCTAAGGCATACCATCCCAGCTATTAAAAAAGAAAATGCTTCAAGCTCTTCCTTCTCAATGCCCTGGGCTGTGGAGAAGTTCCCAAATGTATGGATTCTACCTGTTGCTCTTTTGGATCGTGAGTGTTTAGGTAACTAACACTCAGAATGTCATAGTAACAAAGAATTCAACGAGAAGATATTTATGGGCTAGCGGGTTACAGTGGGGCGCTTATATACCCTTCACAAGACCTTGAGTTTGACTCTCCAGTACTCAAAAGAAAAGTAAAAGGCATTTATTTTGCCATGTACTAGTAGTTCATGCCTATAATTCTAGCTACTCAGGAGGCTGAGGTATGGCACATCACAGTTTTGAGACCAGCCTAGGAAGAAAAGTCTATGAGACTCCATCTCCAAAATAACTGTCAAAATCTGAGCTGGAGGCTCACTTCTCACAGTTCAAAGGAGTATGTTATCTTAATTAAACCATCATCTATTTAAACTCTCATTGTATCAGGCAGTGAACTAAAGGATACAAAAATAACCCTGGCTCAAGGGGTTCATTACTCTGTCTGCAGGGATGGGTAACCTTTTTTTCTGCCAAGGGCCATTTGGATATTTATTACATCATCCATGGGTCTGGATTTGAAGAGAAGCTCCTAGACTTATTGAATTTTGAGTCTCATCTTTGGTGGGACCACATCAAAGTAGTGAGGGCCCTACCAAATGATCTTATGAGTGAGATTCTGCTCTTAAAAAATTGTTTCTCTGACCTACCTGAACTCTGCTATCCACATATGATATTTCTTACAGGCCCTATCTTTCTTTAAAACAAAACAAGCCAGGCACCGGGGCCTCAAGCTTATAATCCCAGCTACTCAGGAGACTGAGAGCTGAGGATTGCAGTTTATAGCCTGTCCAGGCAGGAAAGTTCATGAGACTCTTATCTCCACTAAGCTACCTAAAAAAATGAAAGAAAGAAAGAAAAAGAAAAAAAAAGAAAAGAAAAGCTTGAAGTGGAGCTATGGCTCAAGTGGGTAGAGTACTACCCTTGAGCACAAAATCTCAGGGCATCCCAGTAAAAGGACATAGTTTAAGCATAATGGTCCCATGGTACATTGTCTAATGGTCTACATTTTACATTTCACAAGATGAATTAGCAATAGCTTTAATCACAAACACCATCCTGTTTTAAGTATTTTGGTGCACACTGAAGAAAAACTTCTTTATGTCATCTAGAAGCTCTCAACCTACAGAGCTAAAGCAGAGATGCAAAGAGGCATATGGTAGTTCTAAATGAAGTCCTACCAAAATGTCCAGACAGATAGTAAATGCTGTGGGAAACTGGGGTTTGCATTCCTAAAATGAGAGTGCTGCATGTGTCTAAGCACTCAGCGGCAGGCAGGCACATAGGAACAGGGGCAGGACATTGAGTTACATGAGCTAAGTGCAACTGTAGCGTATATTAAAGCAAACTGCTGGACTGACATTTTATTTATATTAATTAAGCACCCCAAATTTAAACTAGTTGTGCAGAAGATACAGACTGGATCATTTTGGAAGCAGAGGGTGCAGTTTCTAGTTCTGATGCCATGTTTATTTAATGCTGTTCAGATTTAAGCATACCCCATTTGGGACAGGAAAACAAGACATTTGATTTCCTTGGCACACTATGATCTGATGTTAATATGAGATGACTGTTCTTGGGAATAAAAATGGGACAACAGTTAGAAAAGTTTTTTTATTAGATGCTTTAACTTACTTTTCAATGTCTTCTTTGTTTTTCAAAATCCAATCTCTTCCTTGGCCTTCCATATTTTGAAATTGGGCATGACTCTTCTATCTCTTGTCCTCTTAAATATATTCCGTTAGGAGAAACATGGAAGAAGGGGCTTGTTAAATATCCTCTGCTCTCTCTTTGAACTCTGGCACGGTTTAGGAGCTGGTGGGTCAGTGTAACTCTTGCTAGATATAATGTCCTCTGGTTTTGAATATTAGGCTGGTCAGAGAGCAGTGTGAGTCTTCCTCCTATTCCATGGCCAGCACCAGAATCAAGCAATCCAAATGACAACAGCTCTGCACTTAAAGGTAATACAGAATTCTGCCATTGGCATGATAGTGGCCCTCCCTTCTGGCAGCCTAAGACTATACTGTACTACTGATCTCCATTTGAATATCTAGAGCTCTAAGCAGAGCCATGAGATGAAGTGTTTTACATGATCCTGGAAGTTACATTCTTGGCTTGTAGATTAAGTAAATAAGTCATAGGCCATCTGTCATTACTCATTGGTTAATCTTTATAAATAAATTGATACACTACTTGTTCAAAGGAAAATACATTCAACCAATGAGTATTAGACCTTTACTGAATGCCAGGTACTGTTTGCAATCTCATTAAATAATACCCTAAGACAGGAATGGCAGAGTATACCTCTCTTAAGCATAATGGTCCTTACTCTCTTAATTCATAATTTCCGTTATCAAATTGCATCTAAGCTAGATGAATCAATATCTGTGAGTGTTGGGTTGCAGTAGAAATACTAAGAATAGAAGAGGCTATAATGGTTTGCTGTCTTTAAAATACTGCTGAGGGCTAGGGACGTGGCTCAAGTGATGAGGTGCCAGCCTAGCAACCACAAGGTCCTATGTTCCAATGCCAGTACCATCAACTAAAAGAAAAAATGTGGAGACATGGCTCATAGAAGAGTGTTTGTATAGCAAGACCCTGAACTGAAACAAACAAACAAAAATCCTGCCAAACAATACTCTTAACCTTTTCTCCATCAGGTATTTAATTTGTGCTTCTCAGAAAGGGCTAGGTTTCTTAGTTTTCAAAAGAGGTTCTTTCAAGCTCATGAAGCCTGTTCTGTTTTGGGACAGGCCTCCAAAAAGAACATCTGCTGGACAGAAGATCTCATGTGTATGTTACAGCTGTCTCTCTGTTCCTTTGGTCATCGCCCACTTTTCTTTGACCACAGAAAGTTAAAGGAAATGTCTGTTCCATCACCATCAAAAAGTGCTCCTTTAATGTTCTTTTAAGTGTTGTGCAAATAAGTTACACCTGTTTTTTTTGACCCCAGTAATAGAGGACCGGTGAGTGTGAGAGTTGCCCACCCCCAAAAGTATAATCACCTGGCTCCTCATAGCAGGGTCATGATCAGCTTCTGAGGATCTGCTAAGACCTTGGCAGAGGTTAGAAGGGGAAGTGGCATATTATTACTTGCAGATATTTTTAAGATATCTTGATACTCTCTATCAACAATAAAGATAAACGAACCCACCTAAAACAGTCTTGCCCCATACAAATCTTTGTGTGACACCATACATGGTAACTAAAGAAGAGTCATCTCCCCCCGCCCCCTCTGCCTTTTTTAAAGCAGTTCCTTCCATCTCCTAACCTTTGATTGAATTAGACTGAATATTCTCAACTCTTGATTTATCATATCAAAATAAAGGCTGACCACAGGGGCTTTAGTTAATGTTTTATGGAATAATAATCTGCATATTACTAACTTAGCTAGCAATAGTTTTATCTCAGTAATAGATATATTGATTATATCATAATAAGGTCATGTTCTATTTCAAGATATTTTGAAGAAAGGATAGGAATCATAAGAATAAAATGACCCAATTCAGCATCTCGGCATCCGTGCCATTTTAACAATAAGACCAAAGAGCTCTGTTTTTGTGGCTATAATTCTATCATTTTGCCACATTTAGCAACTTTTCCTCCCTACCTTTTTTGAGATCTTTTCTGCCACAGGATACACACATTTCTAGTTTCTTCCATCTAGAAGAACACTCATTTTCTTCATCCTTCTGACACCATCGCCTGTTAAAAAAAGAAGAAGAAAAAGAAAAGCACAGGTCAACTAAGCCAATGAACTTAGGCTTGCATGAGGCAATGTTTTGAAAATGTTCTCCTCATCTGGAAGATAATTTGTATAACAGGATTCAGAAAGCGAGGGGTTTTGGTAAAATAGCAGATAAGGGAATTCCATGGGCCTACCTAACAGGAAAGGGTGAAAAAGGCAAGAGGAAGCCAGGGCTAAGTGCAGCCTCCTGTGGGCCTGTGGTTTGAAGGGTGAAAAGAGGCCCCAAGATCTCCCTAGAACCACTAGATATGAAGAGATGCTTCCAGCAGACCCTGGAAAGCACCTTGTTTCTTCCTCTCTTCAGTGTGATGTCTGAAATTACTATTTCCTGGTTGTGGTGAAGTAACAGGGTGTGTGCTTTTTGAGCAACTCTCAGGGCTATGTGGCCATTTAGCTGGGGTTGGATTATCAGTGCGAGTTAACACAGAGCTAGTTCTTCACTGAGCTTCAGGCCACAGTTTAGAAATGTTACCCAACCAAGCCGCCAGCCAGGAGATGTGAAATTCCCTATCTGTTCGAGACAGGGTAACAGAAATTTTCCCTTTTCCAGATGATGCATGCCCATACCCAGTATAGCAGAGTTTGGCACTGGGAAGGTGGGTGTGGTGATGTTTCTCTTCCTCTCTCCTCAGAGCCTGCCAAGGCTTCCTCAGACCTGACTGCCTGGTTCAGCCTCTTTGCGGACCTCGATCCCTTATCAAATCCTGATGCTATTGGGAAAACTGATAAAGAACACGAATTGCTCAATGCATGAGTTTGCAGCCTTCGAGAAGAAGCCCTCTTGCTGCTCCACACCACCTCACCTGGGGCAAGCAGAAGTATAATGTAATCAGTATGCTGTTTTAATATTTATGCACCATTTTAATAAAATGGAAGGGTCAGTGGCCCTGTTTATAATTGTATAATTATTTACTCCTCTTTGGTATAAAGTGTTCTCTCTGTGGATCTAAACAATATAAAAATCTAAATGGTACAGAGTATTCAGAGGTGATGTCCAGGTCAACACTCACCTGCCAGCACCTGCCAACACCTGCCAACCCCCTATCCCTGCTGCTGTGGTATCAAGGGGCTATGGTGAGATTTGAGTCCAAGTCATAAACCTGTGTGTGTGTGTGTGTGTGTGTGTGTGTGTGTGTGTATACCAGTATTAGGGCTTGAACTCAGGGTCTTACACACTCAAGGCTGGTGCTCTCCCACTTGAGCTCCACTTCCAGCCTCTTTCAGTTGGCACTAAGTCTCACAGATTTGTCTTCCCCAGCTGACTTTGGCCCCAGATGATCAGATCTCAGCCTTCTGACTAGCTAGGCTTATAGGGGTGAGCTACCAACAGCCAGTGCAGCCTGGTTAGGTTTAAGCAAAGTGTCCTACACTCCTTCAAGGCAGCAGGAGGCTTACAAAACTTAACGCCTCCTCCTGTTGTCCTCCTCTCATCCGCCTGAGGGAGGTGGTGTAGGAAGAGACCCTCTTCCTGTTAAACCACCTTTTAATGAGCACTGGAGGAAGCTCTGGCCAACCAAAGACACCACACACCATCCCCAAAGCACTTTGCCAGGTGGCGTGCAACCTCACAGTAGCGGGGGCGTGGGGCTTCGCTGCTTTTGATGGAACACAGACATATTTGCAGATGCTGCCATCTCCTTTGGTCCCCTTCATGGTTGGAATCCAAAAGCATGCATTTCTGGAACCACATGACATGTTGGGGGTTTTTTTGTCCTTTTTCTATTAAACAGAAAACATTTGACATGCAAAGGCAAGTTATGGATTCTGCTGCGGGGACTCAGTGTTGTTCTGTGGGTGTGGAGGTTAGAGGGGGACAAAGGAGGAGGAGGAGGAGGAGGAGGAAGAATCCTACCTGCAGCCTTGTAGCCATCGGCTTCACTTCCTTAGCCAGGCAGCTGGGGTATGGGGGTATGTGAGCTTTTGCGGGATCTGGCATTTGAGCACAAGGACAGATACTCTACCAGTGTGACAGACCCCAGAGCTGGCACATCTCCTTCCTGTGTCACAAAGGACCTGCTGGGTAAGGGCCTCGCAATCTCAGAGGCCCATGTACATCTTTCAGTGCAAATGCAGCTCTACATGAGCATGGACTCAGGTGATAAACGAAGAAGCAAATAGTTCTTGATGTTTGGTTACGCCTGACTCAAAAGAATACTATGGAAGGGGCTGACTGCAGACACAACCTCTGAGCTCTAATGAACACTGGAGACGGGCTGTGGAGGAAGTTGTAGCACAGGAAAGAATGATCCTCTAGGGAAAGTGCTGGAGACGCAGTGGGAGACACAGCTGCCATCGCTCTGTTAGCTTCCCGCCCAGCACAGGCATTCAGGAAGTCTTTTGTGGGACCCACAGCCTGACCTTTATGGATTTTGAGAACATCAGTATACACACTAGGACGCTGCCTCACACTCCTCTCATGCACACACAAGACTTGTTGTCTCTCCAGACCCCCTTCGACATCCCAAGACCTGTACTTTTACACGTGCCTCCCTGGGCTACCATCCCAACTCTACCTGTTCTCTCAAGAGCCTCCTCAAAGTCCCTCCCACTACGGGGGGGGGCAGTGTCTCCCAATTGCAACCCCAGGTTTCCTGTGATTCAGAACCAGTGTTCATGCTTCCCTGAAAACTTCCTAATCCCTTCCCTTCCTCCCAGCACATAAACGCAAGCCAGGATGCTGCTCTGTCTCGTCTGGTAAGTCTGTAGCCTCTTACCATGAAGTGCTGCCACCATAGAGAACTGGGCCCCTACTTGCCCAAATCTCTCTCCCCAGCAACTAGGAAGCAAAAGGTTAGTGATTGCCAAATCAACTTGTCCTCCACAGAACTCGCGTCCTAGTCACATCCTGGGTCATGTTTGCAGCCCAGAAGCAACACAGCACCAGCAAGGAGGAGGTGAAGCTGGAGGGTAGGAATGGGGTGGGGGGGGGGAGGTTCAGTTTTGAATGGCTTTAAATACCAACAGGCTGCATTTCAAAATTGATCTGTGGATGAAGGGGAGACGATTGTGGGAGTTGAACAGGCTTTGTAACTAGGGAAAGGAAAGAATTGCCCATGGAGGCATTTTCTCCTCAAATTTTCTTTACTTTCAAAAAATGAAAGAAAAGAAAAGAAAAAGGGATTCCATCCCCTCTCCCATCTGCAGTCCACTCGGCCAGCCTCTTGATCCCTTTTGATAGGCGTGTTTTGATCCGGGCTCACACAAAGCCCCTCAACCACCTCTCCAGTTTAAGGAGAAGCAGCTGCTGCCTGATTCTCTTGTAAGTGGCCTGCACGCCAGCCTGGCCAGGGGGCTTCCTCTGGGAGCCACCTCGGGGGGCCGACCCAGCTGCCCACAGCCTGTCTCTGGCATGAAGAAGACAAAGGTGCCTTACCCTCGCTTCTCCCTCATTTCCATCCCATATGGGGAGGCCAGCCTGAGCCCCACGTGCATGCGACAGGGCATGCTTGGGGAAGTGTGGATCTGGGGTTCTGGGACCACTTTTCCTGCCATTTTCAGTAGTCTGCACATCTAGCTCTCTGTCCCTCCCCCCACTACTCCTCCCCCCCCCCCCCCCCACCCAATGGATAAATGACAGACAAGTTGAAGGGAAGGAGCCCGAAATGACACTTTCTTCCTTCCATACTTGTGTCTCTGGCTGGCATCGTTTCTTGGTGTACTTTATAGATTCATTCGCTTCAAAATGTAATTTTAGAAATGTCAAGTTGATTTTGAGTTCTGGGAGAGTGAGAAAAGCATCCATCAGCTTCAGAATTAGAACTGTACCAATTTAGGAAGAGTCAGTGCTTTTGTATTAAAAACATCTTCTGCTTGAAGCTGGCAGGCTTGGGAGCCATCCTCAGCCAGTGGGCATGAAGGTGGGGCACAGTCACATGCTTCAGCCAGTTTTTGAAACTGGTATGAGCCAGACTCCTCCCCCATCCATACCCCCAAGGCACCTTGTGAGGCTGCCCAGCCATCTGGGTGAAGACGGCACCTGCCAGGCCCTTTACCCACACTGCACCTCCTGGAGCCAGCTCGCTCAGCTCCACACTCTCCCCTCCCAGAGGCTACTGCAGCCCTGGAAGCTACCTCTGGCAGTGGCTCGAGGCTAAATCTTAACCCTATTTTGGCTATGCCAACAAATAACAGTTGTGCCTGTCTTTGTAATCAATTAGTGTCCTCCAGACGGGCCATGGAATTAATCCTCTGACTTAAATCATCTTCCCAGTCCCTCTCCTGGCAGCGGTCTCCAAGCAGTGATCTAGGTCTCTTCCGCTTTGCTGGAAATCATACATCAGCTTAAAGACAGCTCCAAAGATTGACAATTGCTGCCAGGAATTCTGCATTGAGAATGGGTCTGATAAGTGATAAGGTTTATGATCAGGGGAGGGCTATGGGCAGTGGTGGTACACGCATTGCTTTTCATGGGGCTTCTAAAGTTAGCAACACAGACACACACAAAAATCAGCCCGTGCTCATCTTGGAATCCTAGATACTCAGAAAGCTGAGAGCTGAGGATTGAAGTTTCAAAGATAGCCCAGGTAGGAAAGTTTGTGAGATTCTTATGTAAAATTACAATTAAAAAAGAAAAAAAAAAGGACAGAAGTAGAGCTGTGGCTCAAATGGTAGAATGCTAGGCTTGAGCAGGAAAAGCTCAAGGACAGTACCTAGGCCCTGAGTTCAAGACCCAGTACTGGCATCAAAAATAAAAAATGAAATAAGTCAAATGTAGCTGGGCCCTGAGTTCAAGACCCAGAACCAGCATCAAAAAAAAAAGTAAATAAAAATAAAATGTAACTAGGGTTCTGGAACCTTGACACAAGAGCATGCATGGATGAGAAAGTAAAGATCAAAGAGCACATCATTACTGAAGGCCAGCTCAAACTGATTTACCATCAAAAAGCCTTATTTGCTTAGGTAACTTAGGTCAAACTTTAGGTACAACTGAATCTAGGGGCTCATTTATATCTTCAACAACAGTCCTCACTAGCTTTCACCTCTGATACCCTCCATTTCTTCATTCAAACAGATTATTTTAACAAGAAGGCAAAAAGGCAGCCAGGATCTCCAGTTAGGGTCTTAGAATAGAGACTGCTTGAACTCGTGTCCATTCTTCTGTCACTGGAATCAAGGGATAGGGCGGGAAATATGCTGTTTGTCCAGCTTTTCGTGTTCCTGTTCCTTGATTCTAACCCTTAAGAACTAGAAAAAAGAGAGAAGCATAGTTCCTTCAGGCAAATTGAGGTGTTGCTACAGAAACCAGGAATGGAATAAACACTAGGCAAGAAAACACAATTGAGATCGGCTCTACTTTCTACGGAAATGACTTTGAAGAGTTACTTGTCTAGTCTTTCCAGAGGTGCAGAAATGGTTCAAGAACTGGAATATTTTCCAGAGGTCTCCCTGAAGAGACTCTTTTAGAAGTACCCTTGATCAGGCACTTATATAGGAAGCCAGTGCTCTTAGTGACTTATGGAGGCTTCTTCTAGCCAGTTTCAAGGCATCCTAAAAGGGTTAGTGGGCCTTTTGCATCCAGCACATTTTCTATCCAGACGAGGAAACTGAAACCAAAAGTTTCAGTTTAAAACAAACAAAAAAAAAAAAAAGAAGAAAGAAAAAAAACTCAGCTAGAGTGTCCGTGGCTCACAGCTGTAATCCTAGCTTCTCAGGAGAATGAGATCTGAGGATCACAATTGGAAGCCACTAAGGGCAGGAAAGTCTGTGAGACTCTTATCTTCATTTAACCAGCAAAAAAGCTGGAAGGGAAGCTGTGGGTTAAGTGCCAGAACATCAGCCTAGAGCAAAAAGCTAAGGGACAGCTTACAGGCCCAAGTTGAAGCCTCAGTACTGGCAAGATAGATAGATAGATAGATAGATAGATAGATAGATAGATAGATAGATAAACTGTGG